TGCAGATAATGGACAAAAATGCTTTTTAAAAAAAATATAGTTCTGAAAATCTTTACTTTTCTGGACTTGGCGCATAGGGAGGAAAGGCTGCTCAGCATGGCGATCACCAGGATGGAGGAAACAGGGCATGGGACAGACGCAGGCAAGCACGTTTGGTGCTCTGGACCACCAAGATCTGGGAAGAAAATCACTGTGGGACACAAGGGGAAGAATTATCTGTGGACAGGGCTATTCTAAACAGGTAGCAATCAATGTTCATCCTGAGCAGCCCTCAGAGGAAGATTTAGAAGGTTCAGTTGGTGAATGGAAGATTAAGTTTTTTTCTTCCTTCTTTGTGGTTCTGGGGATCAAATCCAGGGCCTTCTGTGTGGCAGGCAAGTTAAGGTCTTTTAAACAGTTTTGGTAAACTGAACATAGACAGCACTTTACAATGTGTTTTGCCACTTTACAGGAACTGTTCCAAGCTGTACTCAATCAATTCTCCCAAGAATTATACATAATTAGTGACTTAAAGTTAGTTAGGTTAAGTAATTCATGTGTAAAAGGTGTTTATTATTTATTTATTTGAAGGCCAATGACTTGCAGCCAGAGGACAGAAGGGCTTCCTGAGGGACATTCAACTACAAAGCGTCTGTTCAGTACCAAGCATGTGCCAAGTACTGTGCTAGTGCTGAAGATGCCTGAGACACATGCATGAGATTTGGGCATCAAACATGAAATGGAAAATGGGTTGGACAGTGGCTCTTCAAACATGAAGAGCCTAAGGCCATATCTAAGTCTCTGATGGCAATTAGTAAGGCCATGACAACAGGCATGGTGGTATCTATAGGTTATGCTTTTAGGAATGATCAAAAAGTCAATTAAATTCTTATAGACCAAGGGTCTGTTATGTCTCTGAACAAAAGAAAAGCAAACCCAAGCTGCTTAGGTTTCTAAAATATAGTATTACACAGCATACATGCTATATGCACAAATGCTAATACATATAGATATCCAGACTTGATTCTGATGGCTCAACAATACATAACATGAGAAAAAATGAAGTTGGCTGGGCATGGTGACACATGCCTGTAATCCCAGCACTGGTGAGGGAGAGGCAGGAGGATCACTCTGAGTTTGAGGCCAGCCTGGAATACAAAGTGAGTTCAGAACCAGCCTGAATTACACAGCTAGACTCTGTCTCAAAAAAAAAAAAAAAAAAAAAAAAAAAAAGGTGGTATTTTTCTAGAAACATAACCTTGGACCTGAAGATAGATTATATATATAAGCATATTACTAGGACCTGTGGTGAATAATATTTATAAAGTTACAGTAATATAAATGTTCTTTTCATTGGTTTTTAACTTTTAAATTCAAGACATAGGAGGAAACACTGAAGTTTTAATCATATAGACTATAAAGTCAATGTATTCAATTATAATGCTAAAATGTAAAGGCACAGCTATCCGAACATGAAAGGAAGAGGAGGGAAAGAAAAGGTGAAGGGAAGGGTAAGAGCAATAAAGGTCAGGCAACAGCGATAACACTTGCTGGAACAAGAACTACGTGTTTAAATATGTTGTTCAAGATTACAAGAATAAATAATAGAGGAAATAAAAATATTTTTTTAAAAAGTTATAGGGTAGGCATAGGCCTAGCATCTCAGCACCTAAGCCTGAGGGAAGAGGATCTCAAAGCCAGCCTGGACTACACAGTGAGACCCCATCTCAAAAAACAAAACAAAAATTATATGTCACATGAATTCTGAATTCTCCCACATTGAGCAGGCCCATTATTGCTTTTAACACACACAAATCAAAGACAGCTTGCTTGCTTTACTTAAGTGTCACTACTTGCTCACAGATACCTAAAGGAAAAGGCTGCTCCCGTACACAGTGCCACTATTTTCCTAAAGAGCAAGAAAGCTATTGTCCTTTATAAACTGAATTTGATATTTAAAAAACATCTTGACAGAAGCCCACTGCCCAGTAGCCTTGTGATATCTGACCACAGCCTGAAGAGAGCGAAGCAGTTAATCATCTTGCTGTTTTCCTCATTCCTTTTCCTTCAGAGCTAATTCTGAGTTTAGTAGCTATACTATATTAAAACAGAATTGATTCCTATTTACAAAAGGAATTCCTTGGCAGGCAGCCTTAGGAATTACTGCAACTGACTCATGGGTTAGAAATTCTGGGTTAAAGACATAGGTGTAGAGTCACAGTTCTAGTTCTGACGCTGACCAAAATTCGCCTGTGTAACCTTGGACAGGTCCCTTAGTCTCTGGCTCCCAATTTCCTTATCTATAAAATAAAAGGACTGAAACCAGAGAGTTGCTAAGTCCCTTTTCAATATCTAAATTCTTTCTTTCTCTAACCAAACGAAGAGAAAAATTTTAAATCCTAACTTAAAAACCAAAACAAGTAACAACAAAACTCCCTGGAAGTATTGTTAGTGGCCTAAAAAGTCGTTACACAGAGTTAAAGGTCTATGATAGCAACAAGTTAGGAGGGCCTGTTACTCAAGTACATAGTTCAAGGGGTTTCAAAGTCAGAATTTCCACAAGAAGATGACCTAAACAACACTGAACTGCAGTGGAAAAGTACTAGTCTGGGAGCCAGGTTTTCACTTGGTTCAGAGGCTTTTCTTAGGTAAATAACATCTCTTGAGTCTCGACTTTCTCAGGTGTAAACTGACAGGATCACATTACATTATCTAAGACCTTTCCTAAAACCAAAACTCTAAGTGGTTATTCTCAACCTACCCTTTTGTAATGCATTGCTTCCAAAAACATCTTGGTCTGTTTATAGATTTCTTGGCCTGTCTTGTGGAAGGTCTTGAGAAATTCTATGAACTCCTTAGACACTCTATCCGTTTCAATGCTGGTTTGCCGGTTTATGGAAGGACTGGGAGCTTTTGCTTCCTGAATTTCTGCTGGGAAAATTAAACATAGTAAGTTTCATAACAGAGAAGATCTATGCATGGAATCACTAAGCATCTAATTTAAGATTATTTAAATTATGTTTTATCGAAGTTAAACTGAAATTTAAATCATTTTATGTTTAAATGTTTGGACAGCTTTCTTTAAAGTAAACAAAATCTATTTTATAAGTAGGAAGTACAAGCAGACAAAACTTCATGATCTAAGATATTCAAATAAAAGTTGGTCTATTAGTACTTTCTTAGCCAAAATACAACACGCTTTGATCCATATAAAGATTTAATCATTAATACTGAAATGGCACACTAGCTTGAACAACTTTCTCAAAGACTGCAATCACTTGAAGCACCAGCATGTTAAGAGGACACGTAAAATGTTGGACAACTGTTCAAATCCCATCATACTTGCCAAACGGAAAAGGCCAATTTGTCTGCGTGAAGACACAATTAGTTACCCACCATTCAGTTTGCAAGCCACACTGCTCAAAGTGAAAAAATGCACCCAAAGTAGCATAACGAACACAATGGAGCACACATCGAAGGAGTGAGGGAAGCAAAGAGCACACTCTCCAAGTGGCTGTGGACACAATTCTTTCCCCTCTTCAAATAAATACTACACTGAAAGGGAAATGGGGCCTTTACAGAACAAGGTAAGGGGGCAGACACAGTGCCGTCAGAAGGTATGGACTATCACTTGGTCTCCTGATCTTGAACTATGCTCTCTAATTCAATACTTGTAAGGAATTAAAGGATCACATGCCCACAGTTTCCTTTTAATAAAAAAAAAAGTATCTTTGGAAGATATTAAAATCAAGCTCTTACATATTTTCTTAGCATAATTTCTCATCTTACTTTCTTAATTTATGACAAACTCTTCATTTTATTCCAGAGATACATTTTAACAATGAGGTTATAATGAACTTTAAGATAATAAAAATGATACTCCTATTAGAGTGGTATATTTAAGTGAGACAAACACGCTAGTTATCTAAAAGAACATACAACCAACCATACCATGACAAACTTGAATCCACCTCTCACTTACCATGACATCATTGGTTATTAATTTCATGTGGGATATACTTATGATGTTCAAACTGAAGCAAAAGCATCTCTTTCCCTTATACTATACTATGAATATTAAGTACTTAGCACAACAAAATTATATTTTATAGTTCTCTCTCTGAATCTAGTACTTGGCTTTTTGTTTTGTTCCTTTTCTTGGGGCAGGGCCTTGTTATGTAGCTCAGGCTGCCCTCAATTTTGTGGTGATCCTCCTGCCTCCAAGTGCTGGAACTACAGGCATTCATTCATCATGCCCTGCTTGGCTATCTTTTTAAAAATTTTGTTTGCATTTGGCTATCTTTTAAATTATCAAATGCAGCAAGGCGTGGTGGCGCAGGCCTGTCATCCTAGCACTCAGGAGGCTGACACAGGAGGATCCTTCCAAGTTGGAGGCCAGCCTGGGCTACAAAGTGAGCTCAAGGCCAGCCTGAACTGCATAGCGAGACCCTGTCTCAAAAAGACAAATAAATAAATAAATATGTAAATAAATAATCAAATGGTTCTTAACTATAATTAAAAAAACTAGAAATACTATGTATGTATGGCAAAAAACTTATGTCACATTGGAAAAAATGTTTCCAAACAGCATCACAGACAAAGAACTACTCTTACCAAGGGGTCCTGTAAGACAGGAAATATACCCAACAGTGCAATATGAAAATGGACAAAGAGTACCAAGAGTACAGACAGAGGAAACACAGACAGATCTTAACACAGGAAAGATGCACAATCTCATTCATAACAAAGATGCAGATTAGAACTACTATATAATGCCATCTTATTTATTTATTTATTTATTTATTTAGTTGGTCTTTTTTGAGACAGGGTTTCACTATGCAGTTCAAGCTTGCCTTGAACTCACTTATGTGGCCTAGGCTGGCCTCAAACTCACAATGATCCTCCTGCCTCAGCCTCCAAAGTTCTGGGATGACAGGCGTGCACCACCACGCCTGTCTTACAATGCCATTTTAAAGAAATGTTTTTTGTAGTGGTGGAGACAGAACCTACAACCTCATGCATGCTTGACAAGTGCTCTACCATTGAGCTGCATGTCAGCAAGAAGCTATTTTAAAAACTGACACACAAATATCTGAATCTGATCTTGAGAATACAGGAAAAGACACCCTCATGTTATGCAGATGCAATGTAAAAATGATACAACTTCAAAGGAAGGCATTTTAACAATAATAATCAGAATTTAAAATAAATGTAAATATATCCTATGTTCCAATATTTTCTATTTCTCAGAAATTTTCTGCTGATATAATTTTGCATGCATAAAATGAAATATGTTCATGGCTACTCATTTTAACACTACTCGTAATAGCAAAAACTGGGAACAACTGATCACAGAGGGACCAAGCAAATTATTATTTAATCCATGAAATGGATTACTCACAGCTTCAAAATTTAAAAAGTGTATGTTGGGGCTGAGGATACTGCTGAAGGACGGAGAGCTTGCCTAGCATGTGCAAGGCCCTGGTTCAACCCCCAGCATGGACCAAAAAAAACCCCACCAAACAAAAAACCAAGAAGTATGCTTTTTGTGAGCTGAAAGTTCTCATTAATATATTGTTTTTTTTAAAAAAGCCTGATATGTGTAGGTGCTATTGCTTTCTGTAAAATAGGAGGACTGCAGTAAGAATATATGTGATGGTCATTGAGAACAAATGCACAGAAAGATAATAAGAAATTAACATCTGAATGCGGGGAAGCATAGTGGTAGTACTCAGGAATTACATGGGTAAAAGACAAAGAATCCTAAGTTTGGTTCTTAGCACAGCAAATAAAACAAAATTTCTTTTGTAAACTGATTCCAATTTTTGACTATATACCTTTTATTTCCTAGCCATTTAGATGTATAACCTATTTTTTTTTTTCTGGTACCAGGAATCGAACTCATGACCTTGAGCTTGCCAGGCAGGTGCTGTGCTGCTGAGCTAAATCCCCAGCCCTGTATGACCTATTTTTTTTAAACACATAAATAAATCAGGCTGGGGATATAGCTCAGTGGCATAAGTGCCTGCTTGGCAAGTGCAAGGTTGTGAGTTCAATCTCTGGTACCGCAAAAAAAATTAAAAAAATCAGGTACAATCTAACTCAGGACAAAAATAGCAGCATTTTTTAAAAAATATGCATCAAAATGGAAAACCAAAGATTGCTGACTGGCTGTCATCAGAGAAAAATCTTTAATATTCAGAGTTTAAAGATTCATTCAGGGACTGGGGATTTAGCTCAACGGCACAGTGCCTGCCTGGCAAGCGCGAGGTCGTGAGTTCGATTCCTGGTACCAGAAAAAAAAAAAGATTCATTCAATCTGCTAATTCCATCTATGATGAATACCAGGGAATGTGTTCACCCTATTACCTTAACAATTAGGAAGTCAGACAAAATATGAAATAATGGTTTTTGGACTTTGGGCAAAAGGCAGAAAGCAGATTAGCCCTTGTGAAAAGAGAAGCAAACATTACCATTTCACTGCCCATATCACTTGCTGTAGCAGAGAAAGGCAACTCAAATGGAGTCTAGCCAACTTGCTGAGAGAAAGCGCATCTGGAGCTCAGGGAGGGCAATGCAGCTGAAACTTGCCTCGCAAAATACCAGAGAGAATGGAGTTGCAGAGAAAAAGCTCCAGACAACTGCAGGGGAGTCCCTGCAACCTTTAGCTGAAAGCTGTACATGATGTGAAAAAAACCTATTAGGGCAATAACTACCCAAGACTAGGTAAAGCCATACATACACAACAATTCCACGTGCTCACACAGGTTGGACATGGTTCATTTTTCCACCAGCCAAAGAGGAAAGACCTTCTAATATGAGTCACTAAACTGGGAATAGTGGTGTACACCCATTATAACAGTACTTAAGAGGCTGAGGCAGCAAGATTGCAGATTCAAGGGTATCTAGGACTACATGGAGAGAGTGTTAACAACAAAAAGGACGCTGAGTAAGTTCTCAGAATACTGTAGCTGGGTCATGTTAGCCCTAGACCAAAGGTAGTCTAGATCCCACTCTAACAAAGCTTAAAAGGTATCAAATTGGTGCTTGGGATGTAGCTGTGTGGTAGAGTTCTTGCCTAACATGCACAAGACTTTAGGTTCCATTCCCAGCATCATTTAAAAAAAAAAAAAAAATTCCAAGTAACATACTGTATCCTAGAACAAACCCAACAATATTTAAAGGAACAAAATCCAGCATTCACAAACCACGTAATTCAAAATGTCTAGCACCCATTCAAAAATTACCAGGCATGCAAATAAGGAGGAAAATATAATCTTATAAACAGATTAATAAATAACAGAACTAGAAATATCATAGATGATACCTTTAGTAGGCCAGAGTGTTCAAACAGCAATTATAAATGTACTGCTAACAATATAACATACGAACATAATGAGAGATTTGGGAGATACAAAATGAAGCAAACCGAACTTCTAGAGGTGAAAACTACAACAACTGAAATAAAAATACACTAGGTAGCACATAAGATAATACAAAATCAAAAAGAAAACTTGAAGATAGTGAAAGAAATTATCCAAAACAAAGTGTAGAGGAAAAATGACTACAACAAACTGAACTAAGCATTGGTGGTCTGTGGTCAATATAAACCAGTTTGACTTTCATATAACTGCAGTCTCTGAAAGGGAAAGGGAGCAAGGAAATATTTTATGAGATAATGAAGTAATAATGGCTGAACATTTTCCAAAAGAAAAAAAAATTTTTTCTGTCTTTTTTGAGACAAGGTCTTGCTATGCAGTTCAGACTGGCTTTGAGCTCACTTTGTAGCTCACAACAACCCTTTTGCCTTAGCCTCTCCAGTGCTGGGATTATAGGCATACGCCACCACACCTGGCACATTTTCCAAAAATTTATGAAAGGTGTAAGTCTACACATATAAGAAGTGAAAAAAACTCTTAAGCACAAAAATC